ATTTACGGAATTAAAGGATAAGGAGAAATAATTAAATCAAATTATTTTTATTAATAACCAAATATAATTGGAGTTTATTTAGAATAAGAATTAATTTTAAGTTTTCTATCATCATAAGAATATATCAAGTAAGCCATTTTATTAGCTAATCTATTAAAATCAATATCTGTAATAATACTTAATGAAGAATTTTCAATAGCATTTATTTATAATTAATCAAATGCCTTTTTCCAGTCATATTTTATTTCAGCATAAAAGAACATTAATTGAGATTAATTTCTTTAACTAGGAAATTAATCATAAATTGATTTCAGTATTTTTTCTTGAATTTCAATATTTTCAATCAAATTATAATACTAAAAAATAAAATCAATTTTCCTATATTATTTAACCATAAGCTATTAAAGAAGTAATTTTTCTTGAATGATATTAATCAAACCATCTTTAATACTTTAATTAAAACTTTCAGATTATATAAATTAATTTATTTTTAAGGATAACTTTATTTTGTCTTAATTTTTTCCATCTAATTTAGCTGTCAAATTAATATATAAATTCCGTTTAATCATCATAATAAAGAATTTCCATTTGATTTTTTAGAAATAAGTTAGACTATTTAAAATTTATTTATTTTCTACTTAACTATATATTTCATAAACTTCTCCATGATATTATTAAGCTTATAGGAAATGAACTAAATAATAAAAACAATCTTTTGGGTCTTGAATTTAAAGCAATTTTTTCATTCTAACAACCAATTTTGAATAAAGCTCTTCCTTAATGATATCTGGAATTACAAACATTTTATTTGTATTACTTGAGTTTTATTCATAAGTTCTACACAAGCATCCAATATTTTAACATTCTTAAGAATGCTTAGATAAATATATGGAATTTAAAATACAAGTTTATTTTAATTTTAATTTTTAAGTTGTCAAAGATGAACATATCAAATTATTCACTTCAAATAAATTTAATTTTTAATAATTCGCAGTTAACAATTAAAACTTTTGCTGATTATGTACATAAACACCAACATATATTAAAAAAGGGGATAAAAGTATCAAATATATCATTGGTTCAGAAATTTAAGTTAGAGAGCTTATAGCAATAATTAAACCACATGATTCAGTAATTAATGAAATCAAAATTTAATTATTGTTAGAATAAGCTCTATATATATATATTTAAATAAGTTCTAAGAAAGTAATTATCAAAAATATGATTGATTGACCATAGATTGCAAAATTGAGAGGACTAAATATAAAAATATAAGGCTGTATAATTTGTAATATAAATATGCAGTAGTCTTGGAATGTAACTTAAAGTTTCTTGCATTACCCATTCTTTAAAATTAAAGTCCCTTCAAAGAGAACAAAATAAAACAGCAAAATTAAAAGGATAATTAATAAATAAACAATGTCATTAATAATCCAAGCATAATTCTCTGATTAAGTTGAATTTTATAAATTATGGAGAACAATTATTAAAATAGGTTGTTAAAATGCAACATAAATGCAAATACAGGAATAAGTTATCATTTTTAAAATGACATTTTAAATATTTTATTTACTCATATTTTTTTCTGTAAAATCTTTTTGATTATAATTATTAACTAAAACAAATCCAATGGTCAACACAAAAAAGAAATTCAATAAGAATTATGCATAATTTTAAATTGAAAGGTTATTCAATATCTAATTGATTATATCTATTAATAATTGCAGTAAAGAATAAAATCTATTTTCAACTAATTCTAATTTCATTCTTTTAAGCCTCTTATTCAAATCAATTTGACAAGGGTACATGACTAACATTAATGAAAATAATCGTCCAAGAGCATTAAAAGCTGGAATTTAAGTAAATTTGGAGTGGAATTCAAAGTATCCAATTTGAATACAAAATATTTCAATAGATTAAGCAATCATTTAAATTAATAATCAATTTTATTCCAACATTAGCAAAATTTTCATAATTATTTATCAATAAATTAAATATTAAG